AAAAAAAAAAAAAAAAAAAAAGAACTGCTTAGGTTATTGTTGTGTAATCAGAACCTAACACATTACCTGGTACATAAAATGATTTTACATGAGTGAATAAACAGTATTTCATAGGAGGGAAAAATATAAATGGGAGAAGCTCATGGTATTTGTGGCTTTTATATAAAAAAGGAATCCCTGTTATCATAATATAGAAGGTCTTTCCCTGTCTGGCTGTATGTATCCTTCAGTTTCATCACTTGTCACTGAACTTTTGATAGGCAAACCAGTATGATTCTGAACTATTTGTGGCTCCTTACGGGGTCGTGCTTATCTTCCTATTTTTGCTCACATAACATTGAGATGGTTAATCACTCTGTGCCCTAATTTCTCATTTATTATGCAGGAATAATAACAGGACCTATTAAGGTTTAAATGAGATAATATGAGGTAAAGCACCTGATATGTAAAAAGTACACAGTACAAATTCACCATTGCTGTCACCATGGCAGTAACCTTGTAACTGGTTTTCTGGAATTTTTGCTTTACATCTCACTCTTGCTACTCCAGGGGCTGAGGCAGGAGGATCACTTGAGCCCAGGAGTTTAAGGCTATAGTGCCCTATGATTGCACCTGTGAATAGCCACTGCACTCTAGCCTGGACAGTGTGGTGAGACCCTGTCTATAAACGACAACAACAGCTACTCTCATTCTCTAAATCCTAGTGTCATTACCAAGAGTCATTTTTCCAAAACAGAATCTTATATTACTCAAAACATTCAATGACTTCCCATAGCCCAGAAGATAAAGTATAGGTAAAGTTTTTAGCACAGCGTATGAAAGCTTTTCTAAACTTTTCCCTTTACTATTTACTCTGTGGCCTCTTTTCAGCATCCTATACTTTAATAATGACAGTAGCTCACACCTGTAATCCCAGCACTTTAGGAGACTGAGAGACAGGAGGATCACTTGAGGCCAGGAATTCAAGACCAGCTTGGGGCAACATAGTGAGATTCCCATCTCTACAAAAAATAAAAGAATTAGATGGGCATGTTGGTGTGCGTCTGTAGTCCTAGCTGCTTGGAGGACTGAGGTGGGAGGATTGCTTGAGCCTAGGAGTTCGAGGCTGCAGTGAGTGCTATGATTGTGCCATTGCACTCCAGCTTAGGCAACAGAGTGAGATCCTGTCTCTAAAATAATACTAATAATGATACTAACAAAAATTACCTTTCCTCAAAACAACCATACTTTAAAATTTTTTAAAGAACTATTTGAATGAAAGTTGAGCAGATGGTACATTATATTCCCATATACCCTCTGTTTCCAGCTTCCAGTTTCCTGTTATTAACATCTTGCATTAATATAGAACATTTGTTATAATTGATAACCAATATTGATACATTATTATTAACTGAAGTTCATATTATTAACTGAAGTTTGTTAGGGTTCATTCTTATTGTCATACAGTTCTATGAAATTGACAAATGCATGTAATGTATCCACCATTAGAGTATCATACAGAATAATTTCACTGCCCTAAAAATTCCCTGTGCTCTACCCATTCATTCCTAACCCATCTTCCCCTGAACTGTGGGCAATCACTGATCTTTTTCTTATTTCTATAGTTTTACCTTTTCCAGAATATCTCTTAATTCAAATCATACCAGTAGGTAACCTTTTTGAACTGATTTTTTAACTAATCAGTATGCATTTAAGGTTCATCCATGTATTTTTGATGACTTAATCATTTATTTCTTTTTATTGCTGAGTAATAGTCCATTGTATGAATGTACCATTTTGTTTATCCATTCACCTTTTGAAGGACATCTTGGATACTTCCAGTTTTTGGCAGTTATGAATAAAGCAGCTCTAAACATTCATGTTCAGGTTTCTGTTTGGATATGTGTTCAGCTCATTTGGGTAAGAACCTAGGAGCATGATCATTGGATCATATGATAAGTTCTTACTGTTGATCATATTTTTATGCCACTTGTTTCTGCTCAGTAACTGATTATTCAGTGCATAAATGACATATATAAATAGGCTGGTGGCTTGTTAGTTATGATTCTTAAATTTTGTGTCATATGAAATCTAGATAAATGCTGCAGAGGTGTTTTTGACCTGGTCAAAAGTAAGTACAGAAAGTGATTATTTTATTTTCTGATAAACTTTTACTAACTTGTCCCTCATGCTGATTCCTTGCACATTACTGTTTTTTAATATATGTTAATTTCAAAAGTCTTATCTTTATTTTTATCCCCAAATATTATTTCCTCAAATTATGAATTACATTCAAAAGATATTTAGGTTTTTTTTTTAAATTTTTTATAGACAGAGTCTTTATGCTTTATGTGTCACCCAGGCTGGAGTGCAGTGCCTCAATCATGGCGTACTGCAACCTCAAAGTCCTGGGTTCAAACTATCTTCCCTTCTTAGCCTCTCAAGTAGCTAGGACTACAGATGTGTGTGCCATCAAATCCAGCTACTTCTTTTATTATTTGTAGAGACTGGGTCTCACTATATTGTCCAAGCTAGTCTCGAACTCCTGGATTCAAGCGACCCTGCCACCTCATCCTCCCAAAGTGCTTGGATTACAGGCATGAGCCACCATGCTACACTCAAAAGATATTTTAAGACATGGCTTCTTTCAGATTGCACTCTCTCTCTTGCTGTCTATACTCCTGCCACGCTGCACCGCAACTGTTTCCTCCAGCTAAGGACATTGGCTCCTGCTCTTCCCTCTGGCACCTCACCTCTCAACCGCTCTCTCTCTCTCTCTCTATATATATATATATATATATGCAGTAAGATATTTTATGTGAAATATATGAGATAAATATAAAACTATTTTGTATGCTATAGGGAGTTACACAGATACTTATTCAAATAGCATTTATTATTTATCTACTATCTATGTTTCTTCCAGATATAGTTGCAGAGGAAATAAAGATTAATGACACTTTCAAACAGTTTATAGTCTCATAAATGTTTTAATGTAAGCTTTATTTATTATTAATAATTGTATTTGTTAAATAATTTAAATTTTTATGTTATATTTTAATTCTTTTTCTCTCTTCACATTTACATAGTCATATTTGTAGAGTTTTTTCTGTTCCTTCTTTTTTTAGTGGTAGGATCTCATTCTGTTGACCAGGCTAGAGTACAGTGACATAATAGTTTATTGAACCTTGAATCCCTAGGCTCAAGTGATCTCCTGCCTCAGCCACCTGAATAGCTGGGACCGCAGGCATGTACCATTATGCCTGGCTAATGTTTAAACTTTTCACAGAGATGGGGTCTTGCTATATTGCCCA